TAATGTTGTTGTGTAAAACTGGTAAGTACTCGGTCATGTTTTTTAAAAGAAAGTGATTTACCGGCAGCATTCATGAATGTACTTTGAAAAGCTACATAAGTCTTGAGAGTGAATAAAATAAAATGAAAGTAAGGTAATTTTCCAACGCTTTTTATAATAATTGGATGAAGCTTATGTTTAAATTTATCGACAAAGCAGCGGATGGACCTGACCGGAGAGACATTAGTTGCCTGTTTCGAATTGATAAACATGCGTGCAAAATTAATTATCACGGCTTACAGACTCTGCAGACTTCACAGATCATGTGCAGATCTGTTTTTTATCTGTTTCTCGTCTGCAGAAAAACATCTTTGCAGACGATGAAGGCAATGCGTCTGCTACAGACTGAAAACAGACTTTGCAGACGATAAAATGGTCTGTAGCTAGTCTGTTTTTCGTAAAACAGATCTGTTGCAGATCTGCTGCAGATCTGTTGGTTTCGTACGGGTTACTGAAAAACACACTCTTTTCAGTACTCCAGAACGCTGGAAATCGCATTGTAGGGCTTTGAAATTTCAAAATTTTCCGGAGGAGTATGCCCCCAGACCCCTCCTGCTCCCCTAAGAGAAAGGGTACTAACGGCTTCTTGTTCATACAGTTGGTTACCACTCTTTTTAAACCTACTGGCTGCTTCAATTGTTTTTGAAACCCCTGCATAGCTATTATTAATCTTGACTTGTTTGTAACCTCAATATCTTACAACCAACCCAAATTTCAAAAGGAGACACTACTAGAAAACTGACCTTCATTTGCTTAATAAATCCTTTTCCAAATGCTTCATGGACTATCACATTATGCTGAATGTCAGCATTATTCTGGAAGAGACAAATCAAGAGTTCATCAAAAATTATCTAATCCTACACTACACCGGATAACTTTTGTGCCGGCAGGAAAATTGTACTGGATAGAACTTCTGTTCACACATAAGAACAGTGATTTTGGCACAATTTCTGTGATGGAGCAAAGCTGCCCAGTGTTGATCTTGAAAATAAGGCATCAGATATCATGCAGATAGTTTTTCTGCCATATTTTGGTGCAGTGTGAACACCTATATGGTCATGGACTGTCGTGGGAGTGAATAAGTAAGGATCGAGTGGGATTTAGTGCACCAAAACCTTCTTGCCAGCCACTCCGGTAACATTTTCAACGTGTGCAAATGACTTGTGCCGTACCCGGGCCACTGATGTTCATAATGTACTGGACAGCATTTTTTGTTGGCAAGAAAAGATGTTATCTTAGAGCACAGTCTTGGAAAAGTTCTTTTTTTCTGAAGATTGTTTGAACTTCACAGAGGTTTGGCAAAATGTTTACCTTTTGTGCAACCCTGACAGCATTTTCAATAATCCCTGCTAGTTTAGGACTTATATCCCAGTACAGCCTTGCTGGTTTCTGAAGGTTATGGGTCCTCATAGTAGCACTCCTGTGAGCCCCACCAATAGGGGCACATTTACCCCGGTCATCATATGTTCTATAAACGTACCTAAAGAGCCAGACAAGATATCAAATGTCAACATTAATAAGTATATTACCTATGCAATTGGAAAGCCCCCCCACCTCCCTGCCAAAAAAAAAACATGTAAGTACTTACAGTAAACTAAGTGCCCTCCTAAACAATAAAAATCATTGCAAAATCAATAAATAACCTTCACATCTTGAATTCAAACAAAACCTCTCACACAAATGCCCTTCCTGAAATTCTTCCTTGTTCATAGATGAATCTAACAAGAGACCTACATCAACACTGTACTTACAGTGATCTTAGTGAACTTATAAACGACACAAATCAGTGCAACAGTCAACAAATAAGCAATTAGCAAAAGCAATTGAGCAAAAGTCTTTGAACTATAAGAGGTCTCCATGCACCCTCTACTCATTATAAACCAAAAGCACATCTTTATCTTCCCTGTAAAACTTACTCATAAGTTAAGGCATATTCAACCATGTGACCCATAACAGGAGCATCAGCCCACGAGTGCTCAGCATTGATTCCACATTTCCCATCAGAAAATACCACCAAACAGAAACTTTTGTCAAACCAGAAGCTTCGGCCATCACCATGAAGAAGATATTTAGCTCGGTCACTTAACTCACTGAATGACTTCTCTTCCAAAATCACCTTTTTAGAGAAAAGAGGTAAATGATTCGGTTAACCCTTGAACTTCCCATTACCTGACTGTTACAGCAAGGCTATCCTAAGAATAGTTTAAGATAATCACTTGACAACATCACACTAGAAATTAAATTAGAAGACTTACCACAAACAATGCTTCCTCTATGGCCTCACGAGCCTGCAGATTTAGACCATCTGAGAAATGTTCTTTTCTGATTTTGGCCCATTCTGATCTAGGTAATGTCGTTAGAGCTGCCACACTTCCTTCAGGTTGATCTGAGGTCACTATTATAACATTCACACAAAAATTAGTTCAAAACTAATCTTCCAAGAAACTTGGACAACAAATAGAAATACTAGAGAAGTAGGCAGCCAGAATTTCACACAAGAGAACAACACAGACATTATTAATTTTATTATTTTGAAATTTAATTTCAGAATTATAACACAGTCAAACCTACATGTGCGACCACCTTCCATAAACTACCACTACCACTACCACTACCACTACCACCACCACCACCACCACCACCACCACCACTACCAAGTTGGCCACAGCCAAGCCTTGAGAAGAATTATTCAAAACTCTTCAAGTTAAGAACAGAATTCACCAGCCATATAGCAAAATTCACTAGCCCCAGGCTATTGCACACCACTTTCATTGCACACTGCTTAAAAATGTACATGTGTGATCTGCAAGAGAGAATTGACCGCAATCTTCTTTTCAGACTCATTCACTGATTACTTAAAAATACGATTAAGTGACTTCTTACCATCGCCATGTTTAGCATCTGCTTTGATCCACTCAAACTGGCCCTCCAGATCCAACACTGATATAAACTTGCCTCTGCTGTTAGTAACTGGCAACATATAAAAGCTTCCTCCACAAAACACAGCTATGTGCTATATAGAGAAGAGAAGCAGGGAACCTTACATTGTAGCTTTAATTTATGAACATGACAACAGAGGTTTGCATTCTCCTCATTCAGCCAGCTAAGGCACTACTAACTTACACTCTCTGTAATAATGTTTTTTCACTCAAGTTTTTATCAATTTTGCATGCTCCTATTTTAGGGGCTTTTAAAGGAGAGCTGTCAGTGGCTGACCTGGTCGCTTGTCCAGGTATTTCTCTGTTAATGACACCACATGCTAGCTACTAGACTTAACCGTTCTGTGGGGTAATCAGTGCATCAAGACAAACCTCATTTTCTGTGTGCTCATAATGGACAAGTTCATCTGCATCTTCTTTTGGAATCCTGTGGCAGTAAAAAAGGATGAAACTTATTTCCATTTGCAAGTTGGTGTCATTTTTTTCATTTGAAAATAATGTTACCATGGCTGTTACAGTGATCAAAATATGGAGAACTTACCTGGTTGTCTTAAAAGTCCTTTCATACTGCCACATGCAGATAGGTATAGTTTTCCTTATCAAGAGTGGCTCCAGCTTCTCTGTTTCAATCTCCTGATAATACTTCAAGAAGAAGTAGCACATGGTTGCAGCTCTGTGTGAAACAACACATTATGATTTAGACTTAAGTGTTGATATTCATCTCAAATGCTGTGAACAAGTGTTGCATTGTTGTTGATGATTCTACCAGCTCTTATTAAATCAGGCAGGGGTCCATATTCCTTATTCTCAGAGTCGTTAACTGGGCAAGTAAGCCTGATGGCATACTTGCCCAGTTCACTTTGGGTTGCCCAGACAAAAGTGCAGAATGGCATGGTGAAAAAAATGTGTGTAACTTGAACATTTCTGATTAGCACTTTTTCTCCATTTAAGGCCGCGGCTCCTGCATCACCTTTTTTTCCTACTGAAGGCGACAAAATGCTTTCCAAAAAATGCCACATCTTGATGCGTGCTGTCATGTTTTCTACGAATGGCCACTGAATGCAGTACTTCACAAAAAACTGAGCCCGTGATTGTTTCATAGAAAATACTGCGCCATCTTGCCCAAACTTACGATTTCATTGCAGAAAAAAGATGCTTGTTACTCTCTATTATTCTAAAGTTTTAAGTGGAAGTAATCAGAGCACAGGGAAAATGTATAAAATCATATTAAGAATTTTTGAAAAGATTTTGTAGCAAAAGCAAAACAGCAAAACCTGACACTTGTCCAAAGGGCAACTTTTGAAGTTATCTTAATTGTCCATATGAGATTGTAGTTGTCTGGGGTGACCAGATGACTGGGAATATGGATCCCTGAATCAGGACTTGTTAACTTGAATTCAAGCTGCCTTGTCCTTTTGGAAAGCAGCTGATCTCACATTCTGCTTGCCTGGGGCCACATCTTGTTCATCTTAGCTTATGATTTTGTACTTTGTACTAATGATCTTGCCTAGCTGGACCTTTGCTCATTGGGCAAGTAAGCTTGAAAAGTTAAGCGAGGAAAACAATTGTCCTGTATTACTGGACCAACAATTTTTCAAGCCCTGTTAATGTTCATCCACTAGCCACAGTCCTAGTAAGTTCTTATATCTCACAGCCAACTGACATTTGAATAAATCACTATCAGCCGCTCGTGAATTCTCTTCTTACCTCGCCTGATGGCCTTGAAAGTGAAGTTTTTTGGGGAATTCAAATTAAGAAAAAGCTGTAATCAATCCTGCTCAAACTGAAATGACTTTTGCACTAGTATTATACTAGGCAAGAATGACAAGCCGTAAAACTAACTTTCTTTGCATTCTGATCATGCCAAGTTTAGAAAGCCTGAAAAAAGATAACACAAACATCTAGTGTAGAAGTACAGTGTGTGTTAAAGAAACACATAAGTTGATCACCAGGAAAAAGAAGAAAACAGTAGATGCTTTTTTGTACCTTGATGCTTGATTCAAAGTTGGATGCCAGTTTTGATCAAGACAGTACGTAGTAGTTACTGTTGTTAGGCAGAGGTAACCGACCCATGCAATACACATATTTTTCCCACCAATCTGTGTGATAGTTAGGTGCCCACCAAGACTTCAGCTTCAAGATAAACTGAAGCTTTGGGCCAAGGTTCCTTTCAAAGTCCTATAATACAAACAAGTGGGAAAAGAGGTCTTTTTAGTCTTGTGATTTACAGCTATCAAATAGGGCAATGTTGCAGTGTAAATTTAAGGAGGATTATTGTCCCTATACAACCAAACCAGAGAGGAAGAAAAATTCAGTTATTATTTTGACAGCTACAAAAATACTGAACTCAAAGTCCTTCAGAATATATACACAAGAAAAGATAGAGTGACATAACTGACATAGCTGAAGCCAATTAAGCTATTGTCATCCTGACCTTAGCAAGTGCTTCCATTTTTTGATACTCTTCATCATCCAAAACTGGTTTGACAGAACGTAGCAGTTCTTTACATGTGTCACTAAGACTTGGAACAGACATTCTTGGAAGACTGTTTTGATAACTGTATAGCTTTGGACGTTGACCAGAGCAAAGCTTCACCATCAATCCCCACAACAATGTCAACTTGCTTTGTGATCGAGGGGGCTCATCTGTAACACAATACATTCAATTCAACTTAAAAATTAGACATGAAACATACTGACAATAAAGTGAAGAAGCCCTTATAGAAATTAAGTATACTTTAAGTATACTTCAAGTATACTTTATATGTACTTCTCAGAAAAAAAAGTACATTTGAAGTATACCTCGTTTGTACTTCCTGAAAAAAAGTATAAATGAAGTATATTTGGCAAATGTACTTCATTTATACTTCAAATACTTCAGTATACTTTAAGTATACTTCTTCAAACTTCAGTGCTTGTGAAAAATAGTTTTGGAAAGAAAAGTGTACTTTAAGTATACTTTGAAACTGAAAGACACATTCTGATCTGAGGATCTAAGAATTAAGGTTTGTCCGGATCTTGAAATCACTACAAGACAAAAGTATAGTAAAAGTATGCTTTAAGTATAATTTAACTTCAAAATACCATTCAGATCAAACCAGTTTTCTTCTATTAAGGACACAGTTGAGATCATGTAAAGATTTATTCAGAGTGGTGAAGTATATAAGAGGTTTCTAGATACACAGGGCACACATTAGCTGTTTAGTGGACTTCCTTCGTAAGAAGATCATCCGCCGATCCCTGGGCGAAATGGCAAAGTCGCACAGTTTCATTCTGGTCATTTCTTTAACGTCTTTCGTGGAATTTTTGCATTTGGCAGTAAAAGATACTGGATGTAATTAAGGCCCGCGTCGTTTTACCTCCTTTTTTACGAGGACCTTAAGAAATACAACGAGAACTCGAAGCAAAACCATCGCTCATTGTCGGACATCTTTATAGTCAGGTCTCTTTGTGCAAAATATAGGCCGGATCGTTACAGACGTGACAAAAGTGTCAAATTTGGCACAGAGCTTCCTTAGCACCTACCGATTAATACTGGAGGGGGTGCCCATTACAAATGGTCCTAATTACAGATAAAGGGGGGGCTTAACTTTCACGTATAATAGCAGATTGGGTGCCCTGTGGTGAGTACTCTCCTTGTTTGATTTGGCTAAAAAACATTTGTTTCAAATTTTTAAGTTTTTAATTTGGCAATGTTTAGTACTGTTGTTGTTACACTATTCAAAATAGTTTTACACGTACATAATACTGACTAGTGCCCAGTCTCCACATGGTAAGTATGGCCATGTTCACTGTGCAGACTGTGCGGCTAATATCATTACATATCAATTTAAACAGATCACAAAGCCAGCTTTCAAAGATGTCATACAATAACATAAAACTGAAATGTATCACATCCTAAACGATAGAATCGTTAAAGTTTGACATGCCACATGAACGACCTCATGAACCGTAACTGACAACGCGCCCACTTTGTAATTGTGCAGCTAAGATTAGATCATAATTTGCTTCGTTGGTAACCCTGTCCTTGAGATAATGATTAAAACATGTCAACCTCGTCCTCAGGGGGAAAAGGAGGAGCAAGGGTGGCACAATTGGTTAGTGCGCAGCCTTCGGTTGGCGAGGTCCCGATTTCGATCCCCGGCGTCAACACATCCTTATTTCAACTTCTCTTTTTACTGTGTAGCTTAGAGTATCTTTAAATACCCTTAAAACGGAGAATTAATGGAGAGAGGGGGGTAAAAGGTGCGCACCGTCGACCTCAAGTTTATCACTTATTATTACTGTCACGAGTTATTGACGTAAAATATGGTCGCTTTACCTTTTTCTACCTTTTTATTAAGCCCCGGGGATGAGGTTGTAAAACATGCCTCTCCAGGAATTTTTAACACTCTTTATTTTTTACACATTTGCATTTAAAAAGAAGTGTATGAGGTCCCTGCATGCCTAGACACCTGTAAGTGGCTCAGTCACTTCAGAGGCCTTGGAGCAGAGTGTTTATGGTAGGTCTATACGCTCTTTCAAAAAAAGGGAGGTCGTCGCGTACGTTACAATTTACAAACAAACTAACTTCAGAAGAGCTGAAATTTACAGGAAAAAGGCCTCTTCTAGCCAACCAATGATGCATCATTTATGAAAATGAAAGTAATTTGTTTGATGCAATCAGGCGAATACCCCGTGGTTACGTCATGATCTTACGATCATGAATTCCTCAAGAGCAATTCAGTTACCAACTTTTCACAAAATAATGCTGTGGAAAATTACATAAAATACCAAAAAAAGCAAGGGTCAACAATAATTATGGCCTGGTCCCTTATAATAATGGAGTGGTCATGATAAAGAAGTCCATCAGCCCCAACTTAAACCACTCCAACAGATTTCTGACTGATTACATACTGCAAAACTATGCGTTCACGTATACCTATGTTGCCACACCAGGAGCCTAGAAATCGGCTCCTGGTCACACCTTGTTTTTATTGCTGAATATCATTCTAAAGAGCTTTACGAAATATTTTGTTAGTAGGGGTGTTTTGAACATGATTAATATTTAGAGATGGTGACAAAAACGAACACAAAAAAAGTTACAAAACGAGACGCATGAAACAACCGAAATCTAATATTCGTTTTACACCGATATAATGGCTTCTTTGGCTGCTATGCTGACGTTCTTGAAGATGGCACGTAGTATCACAGCTCCCGGGCTAGGTATACCGTTTATTACCAGTTTCACGGTTCCTGAGACTTAGGGCCTGTTAACATAAAGGTGGGGGACCCCTGGTAGGTGAAGTAACCTGCTTAGGTGGGGTAAAAAAATAACCCTCCTTTACATGCAATCTTACAACCCCGCCATCCTGGGGTGCAGTTTCTCAAGATTATTGCATGGTCGCTAAGCACGTAAACAAGAAAAATGCTCTGCAAACCACGTCTAAGCTCAATTGCTGCTCTTGCTGCAACCGTCAGTGTTGCGGCTTTCTATTGTTACCTTTAATAATTATGTGAAGCCATCCGGCGCCAAAGTGAATTTTGCGCGAATTTGATGTATCACGAATCCGACCCCGACTAGCCTGGGTTACCTCACCTTGAAACGTTGACATGGCAAAATTTGACCTCAGCTGAGAGGGTTACCTGGTGTGGCAGACCGGGATACCCACCTTGAAGGGTGACCCCACCTATCATGTAAACGTGATCAAATTAAAATGAGAGATTATATGGACAGGCGGGTTACCACACCTAAGTGGGTTACCATTCCTACCTCCTCCATGTAAACAGGCCCTAAAAGTTAGCCCGGCCCCCTTTCTACAGTTTCAGCAGTTAAACTATTCACCATTTATCATTTGAGTCAATGTTGTACCACTTGAGTCTCACTTTTACGACTTGATAAGCTGTTATTATTTTTGGACATGAGTCAGTGCCAAATATAGAGGCTTCATGATAAACTGTGCTCTTTTTTGAAGCTTGGGCTAACTGGTTTCTTTTTTTCATTTATGAGACCAGATTCTTTTTTGTTTGTTTTTGCTTTGTAAAGCTTAGACAAAATGCGGGAATTGTAAATGATATGACTTGTGCCACGGTGCTTGCTGTGAAAACATGCACTTGCGTCCAGCAGATAACTGGATAAAGAGAGACTGAAAGGCATCCAGGCCTATGTTAAGCTGAAAAATTAATTACCTCCCTAGGAAAGAACTATTTTGGGTTCTGTCATTTCGTTATTTGCTCTTCATGAATAGCTGTCATAAATCCCTGATAACATGTGATACAACAGACTCTTTGACAATTTCTTTTTTCTGAAATTTTGTGTGTGAATCGCTATGCCATACTCTTTCTTCATGTTAAAGTGACATGTAATGACACGTATACCCTGGGTGCCAGAGACTTTTCTAGCGCGGCTTCGGCCAACACCGAAAATTCCCGCCGTACGCGAGAAAAACCTCTGGTACCCAGGGTATGACAAGTAATACTTGATAAATAAGACTTAAGCCACACAATAAGGCCTCCTCTAATTGAAGTACATTAGAAAAGAGGAAGAGAACCCCAGAAGCTGAGTACTTGCAAGTTATGAAGCAAAGACGAGGCCATCTTAGAAATGACTTATGAAAATGTGGGCGGACTGTGGACTTGCTTTGAGGGCACAGTAATAATCAACTTAATTATACAATCAATAAGCAAAAATGGATGGGAATGCCAGATGTTCGAGTAAAATTGTTGTTTACAACATGAGAATAGAATTCAGAGTGATTTAAGGTACTAAATAACAATTTTCAATCAAAACACCACAGGGACCCCAGCAGATGAAATTTACAATAATTAAATCCTGTTTAGCACGCTTCAGTGGCATAGTTGCGGTGGGCACCCCCTCTAATATTCATGGTACTGCAATAAGATATCGCTGTGCAAAGTTTGGTGCTTTTGTCAACTCTGTAACGATCCTGACCCTAAGAGACCTGACTAAACGTTCGTTGAGCTTTGCCGAGAGTGTCTTTAAGATATTTTGCTTGGAATATTGCTTTTAATTTATCTTCACAATTCGAGTACAATATGAGTGGAACTTGAAAATAAAACAAAAGAAGTACACCATGACTGAATTTTGACGATACAAGTAAGTTTTGGGGTGAAAAATGGGTGCTTGGAATATTGCTTTTAATTTATCTTCACAATTCGAGTACAATATGAGTGGAACTTGAAAAGAAAACAAAAGAAGTACACCATGACTGAATTTTGACGATACAAGTAAGTTTTGGGGTGAAAAATGTATGGGTTCCAGTCGTTTCAATATATATCAATTCTTCTTTGCGAGTCATTTGCAAATGACACACGAGTTAAGCGTTAAGGTTTACGAAGTGAAAGCTTGTTTACTTCGCCTAAAGTGCAGTGTCAATTCAAAATATAAAACCCAAGTCTTGTTTTCGTTAGATCGCATTTTTCGTTCCAGTTTTTGTATGTAATAGGTAGACATATTTCTTTCATAAGGTAATGGCACAATTTACTTTGTAGCCAAAGAGGACAGATCTAATCATTCTTGTCTATTAAACATTTACTAAAATTAAGAAGAATATTGTGTGATGGTTCTAAGCAATAATTATTAAGTACAAGTGAGTTAAAGAAAGTTCAGAAAGAAACCTGTTAATATACATGCACCTTCCTTGAAATGATCTCATTGTCAATGAAAATTTTACTAAAATCAAGAAGAATAATATATTATGGTAATCAAATGCAGTGAGTTCCTTTGATAGGAATAAAAAGTTTATATTTTTATGTTGTGAAAACCTATTCAAACAAGATTTGCTGTATATTCTTTTATAATTTCTTAGTACATTTGTATTGCTTTAAGTTAAGGGTAGTTTTTTTTGTTATATCAATAAATGATTTTACAATATAATTGATCCAAGTCTGATGCGTCTCAGTGGTTGATAAACATATTGCATTGAATATACTTTAAGTATATTTTAAGTATACTTGAAGTATACTTCCCATTAAGTATACTTCAAGTATACTTTCATTTAAATATACTTTAAGTATACTTTTTAGGTGTCGAAAAGTTGTGTACTTAAAGTATACTTCTGGTAAGTATACTTAAAGTATACTTTAAGTACAAATGAAGTATACTTTTTAAAGTGTTTATCACCTATATAAAGTACACTTTAAATGTACTGAATTTCTACAAGGGAGAGCTCTCCGTCAAAGTCTGTCGGCTGACTGTTGGTATACTGTCAGCCAACTGTATACCAACAGTTGTCCAACAGAAAACCGACACTGAAAAAAAAAGAAAGAAGTGTTCTGATATTGACACTCAACCCTTACCGTAAATTCTGTTAGAATTAGTCGCTTTAATAATGACTGATAATGCTCTTCATAAAGTTTAACTATGAAATCGCCCTATAATGCATTGCAGTTTGATAAAGCCAGTGTTAGTGCATCCTATATGTACTCTCAATTATCTCAAAAAACCTAAACAAAATGGCAGACTCAAGTTTTGCCTCGATAATTGGCCCTGTCGGTCAACAGTCCACCGACGGCTGACAGTTTTTTTGGGGAGCTGTTCTTCACTATTTCTGACAATACCACAATGATCTCATAGACCTCAGGTCATCTATTTAATTTTAGGAGCCCAAGTGGGGGTGTTTAATAGATGCGCGTAAAAAGAGAGATGTTGTTTCTCATAACTGTGACAAACTTCACAAAACTAATAAAAATGCTTTTGGTGAATATATTACAACAGTCAACTCAACTGATGTGATTCAACTCACTTTGACTCTGAAGATGACTACCAAACAGGTTGTCAAAACGTCATTCATTGTCAACAACCACAGTCCTATTGAGGACTACGTTCACCCGCACAATCATGCTCAACCTATACATGTACTTAGTGATAGACAGGTAACTATACAGGTCACCTATGGATATGTCTAGGCCATTAAGAGATCGGCCATATTGTTCTTTTAATGCTCAACTTTGAGTTAGAATCCTTACTAATCAAGGCTATCACTAAGATTTCAAGTTGTTGGCTAAATACAAGGAGTAGGCTGGGAATCAAACAGCTACTGATTTATTTTGGTTCTATGTTTCCTCTTTTTTCCTGTGAAAGTAGCTGGGATCATGTTTAAACTAGCTCGGGGCAGGCGGTGTGCGCACTACGATCGCTAAGCATCATGGGCGGTATTCAAAATCTGATCATTTGTGTCAAGATGGCGTGGAGTGAACATCTCGACTGCGGAGTGAATATTCGTTAATTACGCTGTAGATATATACGATTTTGCTTTGAATGTCCTCCGGAAGCCCTTGAAAAAGAAAGTCTGTCTAATTCTCAGGGAAAGAACAGTCTCATTCCGTTGATAAGTGTATTCTGGTGTATTTTGTTCGTAATCACTTGCATCCTGTTTGCAACTGACCGAGAAAAGTCGGCACAGAAACACTTTGTTCAATGCTTCAATCATGAAAAGCACTGGAGGTAAGACCCGCGGTTCGCCGAAAATTTTTGAATTCACCGTGAAATCAGTGCAACTAGTGCTAAGAGGTACTGATGTGCATAGCTGTGATATACTCATAAAATACTTAAGGAGCTTCTTCAGAATACCCGGCAACGGTATTTAAACACAGTGAGCTTATTTTGTTTTGTCATTCAGCACTGCAAGATGTTCACTTGCTAGCTGTAATAAGAGAATCGAAGTTGAGGGGGTCATCGTTTCGAGGACTTGTTTCTCTGTTGGCACCAAGTCTACATTTCGTTTTGCTTAACATCTGTATTTATCATCACATGAAGACAAGTAAATAAAGTAGAGAGTATTTGTGTACAGTGAACTTGTGTCCTCTTTATAGATAATATAATATTGAGCATCTTTATTTGCCATATTGTTCTATTGGTATGAGTCATAGAATGTCTTATAACTGGATTGAAACTGAAAATGGCATATTTGTGATTACAAAGCCTGATGCAGTCAATAGATTTTAAAAACTGCAGCCAATATTATTTTGTTTAATGATTGTGTCAGTGTGCACAAACACTTGTTATCACATATTTTTTTGGATTATAAAAACTCTTCAAAATGTGAAATTCATACATGTTTACAAATCTCCTGTAATCAGGGCTGGGGCAACATAGCTTGAGACCCCTTTCCTTTCTCCTCACCCCAATTTTATAATTTAAATACGGTGTCATAGGTCTCATCATACTCACAGTCAACTCTGTTATACAGACACTGAGGGGACCGTAGAAATTAACCATCTTAATTTAGAGAAAATTTAAGAGCTTTTTTCCAGGGAACAAAGGAAGCTATCTGTAATGATGAGCAAGGCTTTGCTCTAAGGAACATTGAAAGGAGCCTAGTTCTCTGAACCTGTAAAATCTAGGCTGCCCAGCATATGATTTGTATGAAAAGCCTGAGATTTTCTAGTCACCCAAAAGCAAAAGTTAGGTGCCAGGGGCCACAGGGCTCTGCTAGAGCACAGCCTTGATCAGGTGTCTGTATGAAGCGGTTGTCCGTAAAGAGGGCTTTTGGGTTACCAGTTATTGCAGAGGTGGATCCTAGTGGTACAGTAAAACCCCCTGACTTAGAACCTGAATTTCAAGAACCTGTTCAGCTAAAATAAAATTATGCCAGATGAGCCCCCTCTATATAAAAACCTGTTTAGCCTAAAATTTGAAACAGGTTCTTATTTTTGAAATCTATGGAAAAATTCTGTACACTTGAGCAGAAATAAATAAACATTTAGAATCTTCTTTGGAGACAAAGCTGTCTTATCACTCCAACTGCAATGTAAATGCCAATGTTTAAATTTAAATACATTCCTCTTTTTATGTCCATTTCTCACATAACTTTCTAATTTGGTATGCAGACTTTATATGAGGAATAAGGTGAAACACAAATACTCTTAGCTACATTTTTACTTCAGAAAATATGAACCCATTTAAAAACCTAAATAGCCTTAACTTGTGCTAACTACTATTTATATAAGAATCAGTTTAGGCTTACTTAGTTAATTCAGGTTCTTAGTCTCATGATTTTACTGCCCCATTGTTCCACTTTTTCTATGTCCTTTCCCTGTCACCATTTTTTCAGCCTTAGTTTTCCAATATCAAAAGCACATTCAATGATCAAGCAATTTATATTTTAACTAAAGCCACCAAAATATGCAAATTGTTTGATATACATTAAACAGTGTAAACGGGTAAACAGATTGAATGACATCACTTAGCCTGTGTGGCAGGCATTTCAAAGAAAAGGGAAAGTGGGTCTTGGTGCAAGAGAAATGTGAGAGAAGGAGGGAGGGAAATACCTGCCATACAGGAGACTAATTGTTTTTTGCATCAGAAACATCAACCAGGTGAATGTTGAAAATCACTCCCTCCTTCCTCGTGCACTATTCGCATTTCTCTTGTACCCCAAACCCCTCTCCCTTTCCTTTTAAATGCCTGCTACGGAGGCTAATCACCACTGAATAAAACAGGGACTAGGCAAGAAACTGACAAAGTCATAACATCCACACAACAACACACACCAATCTTGGAAGTAGATTGCTGGTTTCAAAATGCACAGGGCTTAACTGTATAATCAAACTTATCTTTTAATTTAATACCTGTAATTCTAATCCTACTGATTTTATACCTGCATAAAGAGAGTCACATGTATGACTGCAATTTTATTATGCTTTTTTAGTCCTATTACAAAAACAGACTTTCCTACATCAGAGTACTATTTTATGCTCACCTAATGCTACTGTTTGGAGGAACCAGTCGCCGCTGCCCCGCTATTTTGTGATCAGCTTGTGATTACAACAGTAACACTTCCAGTAACATGAGGCCCTGCCAGGGGGGGCTCCCATGTCGCTCGTCTGAATTTTAAAACGTCTCGTGTCGGTGTTTATTAATGCTTCACGTCGCTGTCGGAAATTGAACGAAAATTCTTTGTCTTTGTCGGAATTTTAGAAAAGGGGGATAGCGATGGGTTTTAAAGAAACCATTACAGTTGAGCAATTTCTCAGTTAACCTTTCGCGTATAGAACACCTATACATCGCCATTCACAATTAAGGGTGTGTTCCTTTCGGTGAATCCAGAAACGGATTTGGATCTTAAAACGGATTTCACGTTCCTTTCGGCAAATCCAAATTCGGATTTTTGATCTGGTCACATTGGATTTGAAATCCGAAGAATCCGAATCCAGATTAACGGATTAGTCATCTACGCTGTTCCATTCACAGTGGATTCGAAATTAGTCAGATGATCCAGCTGTACTTCCAGTTGAAGTATTCCCGTAGAGTTTCCTAATTGCTGCCATTTGCCGTAAAACATCTGAAAACACTAGAAGATTGTTCATGGTGGTACAGTAAAATGTCCATGTGCTGACCATTTGTCGCTAAAGATTGCTTAAAAACACAAATAAGTAAAAGGGACAAATAACTGCTATCTTTCTACAAACTCGCTCTTGGACGCGATAGGCACTCGATCGTGTTACATAGAAAACCGAGCTACGAAACTGGATCAAACTGAGCCGACAACCTTTAGATAATTTTCAACTTTAACACGCTACTTTCTTGATCTGTTTATGTTCCATCGTCGTTATTCGAACTGCCGACCACAAAATTCTTCACGGTATAATCGCATAATTTGTCAAACAGTAGAAAACATGTCATTTCTTGAGAGGCTGTCATGCATATTGCAAGCGTTTGCGAAAGGTTACCAAGGTCACAAATCCAATTTCGGATTTCACGTTCCTTTCGACCGCGAAATCCGGCAAATCTCGGATCAGAAATCCGTTTTTGGATTAGCTTAAAGGAACACTGTCAGCACACCCTAAGTGATCCACGTTCAACATTTTAAGACTAACTGACCTGATAAATCGTACGTGAAGGCCGGTTAACGGTGGTCTACGCTGTGCGGTGCTCAAGTTAGCTGGTCCCTGGTCTCTCCACCGTCGTCACCGTCCGACAGAGGTCGACAAGGATATGAGAAGTTCAGAAACAAGCAAAGTATTCACCATTTTCACATAGACCATAACTCACCTTGTTTACCCCCAAAACTTTGCATAACCATTGTTTTCGATTTCTCTTGGGACGACTGTAATACCCTGGAGAATTTGGAAACATTGGTTATACAAAATTCTGAGGGGGAAAACAAGGTGCGTCATGGTCTTTATGAAAGTAGTGATTACAAGAGATGTAAAGCGTGCGTAAATTAAGCTATTTGACGGACAACCTAGTCCCAAGGTCTCCCAGGAGTTGTGCGGGGTTGCGTAAATGAAGACTACGCGACGGGCCAACGCGACGCGCTCAGGAGGGTCTACTGAAACTCCCTGACGAGAGACAACCTCTGAAGCGCAAGGAAAATTGACGAAAATTACTTCTTCTTGGCACTCAGACTGGTGATAAATTAGCCAAACCACCGTTTTTTGTCGCATATTCTCGGCTTTGCCGTCACTGTCGCAATTTGGCCGAGGGAGGTTGTCGCTTGTCGCCATTTCGTTTTAGGCTCTGTCGCTACTTTTTGGCTCATGTCGCTTGTCGGAATTTACCCTGGCAGGACCTCTAACATGTCACATTGGTCTTCGCGAGGCTACATTTTCCCATGAAAACATGCCGGTTTCAATTCGGAAAAAGTATCACAAAACGTGGGGCGCGTCGGGGAGCGATAAAAAATTAGCGTAGAACAAGGTTTGTAGAAACACTTACAACTATCTTCTACTTTCGACGGGCAATATAATGGAAATTATAGCCTCTTAAAAACCGGGTTCAAATTTCATGCTCTTACAGGAGGAATCTTCGGGCTCCACGTTTTAGATTGAAATGAAGAATATTGATTTGTTGTTCTTCACAGAAAAAATCTAAACAAATATTAGCTTGTGAAATCGAGAAAAACTATCTAAGGAAAGAACTGTATCTATTGAAAAATAAAGCATATAACCTGCGAAATTTCTCGACATTCGCCGCCATCTTGAAAATTTTGAATCCACAATGCATCGCAGTCGTAGTGCGCACACCGCCTGAGCTGGGGGGAAATCCAGGGTCCCTGGCTCTAAATGATAGTCCTTATACACATAAATTACTTTCAACTTGAGA